TGACATATTTCAGCACGTTTTCATAGATGATCAAGGCGTATCTTCCACGGTTGTGCTGCGTCAGTGTGGGCATGTCACTCTTAGCAGGAGCGATCTCTGTGCGGTAGTGGAAGCGGCTCGATTCTAAGATGGCAACAATTTCTTGGCCCAGTTGGGAATAGATGCTCTCCACAAACACCAGAACCACTGGTTCTGTCCTGGAGTTGTCAATCGTCTTGACCTCCTGGAGTCGCCCCTGGCGCACCGGAAGGAAGAGAGGGGACCTCTGGCCTCCCGTCTCACCACCGTCAGCTCCATTACCCATTCCCAGCAGCGTGCCCCCACCTCCACCACAATCACTGAAGGGTAAAGGTGGTGGGTCCTTGATTTTGGGGCTGTTGGAGACATAATAAGCCAAGAATGCCATGGAGAGCAGGCAGAAGACTATCAACGCCAGAATCAGGCGGTGAAGCTCCAGCTGGCGGACCCCTCGCAGCAGCTTCAAAATCCCCAGGCCAGCGGCCATGGTGATGTGGGAAGGAGGCCGGACAGGTCAGGAGGTGGCAGCGAATCCAAACGGGCAAGGGCAGCGGCAGGGAGAGGGAGCGAGAGGAGAAGTGAGTGGGGCAGGAAGATTGAGCAGTGAATACTGTCACTGAGCTGCACTGATTAATAGCCATTTACACTAAGTCACCATGGCCAGCATCATTCATTACTTGCTTTCTATGTTTAGCTCTGAAGTGCAAAAACACTCAGATTGCTGCAAAGAAACTGGTATGAGGGCCTCAGTAAAACTATCTGATGTGTGTTCAGATGAGCCGACAGCCTACGTCTGAACTATTCTCATCTCCATGATGTCTTCTGTTCGGAGGAGTCTCAGTGTAGCTGCTTTGGATTTCGGGATTTGACTCTCTCCGGCCACTCGTCCATGACATCCAAGACACTTTGGAACAAAAGCAAAAGAGAACAAAGAAACCATGAAGCAGAGTGAGATTTAGATCAGCATTGCTGATTTCTTATCCAGAATGTATCTTCATAATTCTGACAACATGTGAACAGTTCTGCTCGTTTCTCACCATGACAACATCGTGTCTCCACAAATCAATGGATGTCGGTTGCAAAAGCCTCTGCAATATGAAACATGATGGTAAATTTAGGCAATTTAAGAACAGTCAAATGCTCTGAATTTAATTTTTTATTATACACAAACAAAAATGTTCAACTTGTTTTCAGCTACGTTGAAGTTCAGTTAAATCCAAAAAACAGCAGCTTCATACAGAAATAAGAAAGCAGTCTTTTAGTGCCTTAGAAGACGGTTGATGACATTCACAAAGCCATAAATCTCCATGTATTCATTAGACTGTGGTGTGGGAGACCCACAGTAAGTGGAGCACAGCTGCGATCAGGAGGGAGAAGGATCCATTTTCTTACAAACAATAAAAAAAAATAAGTGTGAAACAAAAAAATTTGTATCAAGCAAGCAGCCACCTGCCTTCAGAAGCCACCAAATCAGTAAATGCAAAATAAACTGACAGCAAGCAGAGCAATAATCAATGAAGCAGAGGAGCGTGGTGGCACCAGAGGAGCTGCTCAGATACACAGCTCAGGTGGGCAACAAGACGGTTTTCAGAAATAACAAATTTGTTCTTTTTTTTTTTGCTTTATCACTAAAAGTCTCAAACTAAATGGCATTGAAAAACAAACAGTAACTACACAAAGCAGCTTTGAAAAGACTTTAGCACACTGTGCCATTTTATAGCACAATGAAGTAAACACATAATGTTCAGCTGTTATAAAAGTACTGAATATATCAAACATGACTTAAAATAAATTTGACTTTGCATTAAAAGTCAAATTTGCATTGAAATTGGGCCTCTGTCTCCTTAAGAAAGGTGGAAACCCTTTCTGACTCTCCCCCTTCAGCACATCTTCACAACAATGCTTCCATGATGCAGCTTTCAGCTGTTCTTAGCAGCTCAGTGGACGCACAAAAAAAGGCTGATTATGCAAAATACCGCCCCCTTGAAGAGAAAGTTAGAAATATAAAACAACCTGCTTCTGTGTGAAAAGGTCATTTTCCCCCTAAACCCTAACCTCCACATCAGACTCCTTGCCCACACATCTATATACCATATTTCTATAAGCAAGCAGTCCGGTTCTGACAACCAAGTGGTTTACACTGAGATTAGAAATGGGAAATCCAGAACTGTTTTAAACAAAACCTTGGAAACTGCTTGTCAGAGAAGATATAAATCATAAATTAAAAAAAAATTTTTTTTTAAAAAGAGTGAGTTATCCAACGATCAGACTGGTGTGTCTGTCCTGCAGCAACACATTTATTACTGCTATGGTATTTTAGGATTTAATGCCAATTGACCCTCGCAGACCCTCACATGTGTTTTTGTGATGCTCAATACAAATAAGACAGCGGTCTTGAAATGTGAATCTTTTACTTCTACTTGTATTCGACCAGATTCAAGACAACATGAGTCAGTGTGTTCTCTGCAGAAACACATACTGCAGAGTTCAAAATAAATGGCTTGACCCAAAAACCTTTAACTAGACCAGGGGTGGGCACTCCTGGTCCTCGAGGGCCGGTGTCCTGCAACTCTTGGTTGTCTCCCTGATCCAACACACCTGAATCCAATAGCTGAATCACCTCCTAAATGCAATCAAGTTCTCCAGAGTCCTGCTAATGACCTCATTATTTGACTCAGGTGTGTTGAAGTAGAGATACATCTAAAAGTTGCAGGAGACCGGCCCTCGAGGACCTGGAGTGCCCACCCCTGAACTAGACCATGTAATGATTTAAAACAGGAAGTTTTCTCTGGTTTTTAGTAGTGCATTTTGTCATGTGGAGATAGCAGAGATAAGTTTCCAAGAAAGAGGAGGACTGATTCTAATGTCAGGAGACAAAAAAAAGCTCCAGGAACCAAATCCAGATGTTTGTGTTCAGTTCAGGTGAGAAAGGATAGTGATAGGTGTAGAGATGGAGGAGAAGCAGAGGGATGGTGTGACAGGAGGAGAGAGGCTTGTGTTTTTCTCTGAAAGTAAGGGAGATGTCATCAGAGGTTAGTTGTGGTCTAAAAAAACCTCATCTTCCTTCCCTCCACAAACAACGAGATGATCAGACAGTGATTGTCTGTCTGGATTCTTTTAACCTAACAATTAAAAGTATAACCCTCAGCTGATGATGATGATGATGACGACGGGCTTCCTCACAGCTCCTGGGGCTCGTGGCACCAACCGGGTCAGCTGCTGACAGGAGCCGGTAGCAGCCCGGTCACATGACGGGGACAGAAAACCCCGACCAGCCGCCGCACTCCAGTCTTCTAACGGACCCCTGCCAACATCTTAGCGTTCAGCTGCTAACGTTAGCTCCCAGCATCAACGGTGGATCCTCCAACCCGCTTTTTGTCATCCACAAATGACCCTGTGAACACGTCACCCTTCCTCTTCCCTCTCTTTCCACACAAACAAGCAGTCCAGCTGGGAGGAATCCCTCCCAGTAAAAGCTCCAGTGTTCACCAGCAGGAGAAAGAGCCCGCTAGCTGAAGGCTGCGGTAGCCACCGATGGCTAACGGGGGCAACATTCACACGTTCCCACCTCAGAGAGTAAAAACTGGGGCTGATTTTCACTTACCGGGGATTTCACCGCACCGGGGATCAATTTGTGAAGGGAGAAGATGTTCGTTTAGGTTTGGAATTCGAGATAAAACTCAACTTCGGCGCGTCAACACTCAAGCAGCCATCTTGTTTATGATAGCAGCCCGGACTGAACCAAGCTGGGGAGAGGAGGGGGGTGGAGAGAGCAGAACCTGTTCCCCAGCTGCTCTGGGTCACTACCAGCTCCTCACAGACGGTCAGATCTGACCCTCTGCTCTGCGGATTGGAAACGTCCTCTTGAAACTGAACCGTCTGTGTAAACTTATGCACACGCTTCCGCAGACAGACATCAGAACAACAGGTTGCTGATGTGGAACCAAGAGTTCAGGAAAATCACATGAATAAATAAATCAATTATTTTATTTCAGTGACTGTGATCTCCACGCACTGAAAAAATTGTTTTCTCAGAAAATATAAATGCTAAAAAAATATATAAAAAAATGATACAGCCACAGCATATTAAACAAGGCCGATTTTAGTTTTGAAGTGTTTAGAGGTGGTCTTGCTATGGTGCTTCTGAATATTTCCCTCTTGCATAACCAGAATATGATGGCCTACCATTCTTCTTTATGGTATTCTAGAAATTATATGTCAACTCATCCTGATCCTGGAGCAGTAAAGAAGTCCTGAACGTCACACTACCACTGCCATTCTTGACAGAGGGTGTAATGTTAATGTTTTGCTTCCATGGTTTTCTCTTTAAAAGTTGTATTGGTTTGACTTCAAAGGAACATATTCTGTGATCTCGCCAGTCCAGAGTAATTCCTAAAAAGTTTTGGGGTTCTGCAAGATTTGCACTTCATCTTTCTAAATATCAGACCAGTAGAGTTCAGTGTTCTGTCCTTGGCAAAGGTCAGGCCTTCTGGAAAAACAGTTTAAACATCATTTAAAACTGTGCTAAGAATTGTGATGCTCACTTTTGCTTTTATGGTTTATTTTTATTTTAAAAAATTATGTAACAAATATTACATGATTTATTTAAATTCCCATCAACACTAAGGTGTTTTTATATAATTGTATTTCATAAATTTATGATAAACTGATGGATTGTATTATTACATTATTTTTTTCTACCCTATTTGTATGAAGGCTTCCTATGACCCCTATATATCTTTTAATATCTTTGATCTGTATTTTAATTGTGCAAAATAATGTAAACCCAGCAGGTCTGTTCAGGCAGCTAAGGTGACCAAGACAAGATTAGGTTTGCTTTATGAAAGTTGATTACTGACTGATTGTTGTGACAGCAGTAAAAATATATTAAAACCGATAAGTCAGTCAACAAGTTTAGTGTTTTCAAGGATCTTTAATAGGTAAACTCTAAACTTTTAGTATTGCTTTCTTAATCTTCAACCTTTCTTTTTTTTTCCTTTTTTTTTTTTACTCTAAATTAGAATCTTTTACAATATGTTTATATAGAACCCATGGATTAAGCTACAGTTCTGAGAAATACAAAAATATCACAGAACATTTTCTACACTCGCCTTCACCTGTGAGGCTCAGAACTGGTTCAGAAAGACAACAGCTGTCTGGACAGAGAGGATCGATGTATCCTAAAGGATAACAGCACCGTGGAGCCAACCCAGCTGAAGAAGTGCTCCAGTTAAAAACACCTGTCTCTCAAGTCGGGTGTGGTGAAGTGCTGGCAATCATGTCTTAACATGAGTCATGGAGGCGGGTCGTTTCCAGAGCTGCAGCACAGCTGGATCGGAGCCTCCCTCCCCAGCCTCCTGCACTCCTGGCCTGTGGATAAGCTGCCTCGTCCGACTGAGGGACGGTGTCCAGGGAAGTCCATGCTCACGCCTCAATGTTCGCTGGGGCAAACACCTAAATGAAGTCTTAATCAAACAGATCTACAGGGGACCCATATGTGCAAAGTGCTCAGTTTTAAAGTTGCATCTTTGAAAGCAAAAGTCTAAACAATGGGACGGAGCCACCGTGTGTCCTAGAAGGGGATCTGATCCAATGTTTCCACCCAACAGGAACGCCGTTCTCCCGCATTCCCTGATCCTGGTCCTGGAGTTCCACTGGCCAGTATCTCTTAGATGGGTCCCTTTTTGAACACCTGGTCCGGAAACAGGAATTACCTTGGAAGCTCAACACGGAGCTCCGAAGAAGCCTGGTGACTCGGAAATGGGAATCGGTGAGCAGAGGCAGGAAGATGAGGAGCTCTCAGGGCAGCGTGGCCGGCTGCGACTGACTCTGCAGGGTCGCCGCTATCCTGTTGGTTCCGCTTGGGGAAGCTCTTGGCGACTTCCTCAGGAGTAATGAAATAAAAACGAATAAAGCTGCCACCCTTCAAAAAAGTCCCACCTCCTTTTTCTTCACAATTTACAGCGACACCCAGCATGACCGATGAGTCCCGGTACAGATTGTCCGTCTGTTGGACAGTGCCAACTGGAGTCCCGTTTTGGTCTGGAGTAGAAATGTAAATATGGATCGTCATGACAACCAACAGCAGCGTTTGAGCTTCATCCTCCCCCCAGTCCCGTTTGTAAGCATCACTCAGTCAGTAGAAAATATCAAAAAGTTTATACAAAACCCTAAAACATCCGCAGAACAAACAGTTAGCTTCTTCTCTTCTTGTCTCACGCTGCTAGAGGTTGAGATGGACAGAAACAGGCCAACCATCACTCCGCCCTCTGGATTGGAATGTCGCAGCATGACGAAGAACCTCACCAAATGTTTCAATCCAAACTAAACTGAGCAAAGAAATTCTTAAAAACACTAGAAATGGAAACAACATCAAGACGTCTAAGCGAGTCAAAAAAAAAAAAAAAGGGGGTACACTGTGGCTCGTGGTTAAACACAGGTTTATGGCGGTGGATCAAAACGGCGACCAGGCTTCTCCACTGATGATACCCGAGTGAACAAACACAACCTGGGAATCCATGGATGAGGGACACAGAGCCAGCTACAGACTCTTTAGCTTGAGGCCACACAGGAGAGAAGGAAGGGGGCCCCTGACTGAGTGGGGCCCTGTGGGGGATGTGCCTGGCTCAGTGGGGTGGCAGTAGTAAAGCTGGAGGCTGTGTGCTGCTGTTTACGGGGAGAATGTGGCCATCTCCAGCGAGATGCGCTGCCACAGCTCCTTGGTCTGTTTGCCTCTCTTGAGATTCTGCAGCACGTCGTTGAACTGCATCATCCCCACCGGCGTGAGGCAAAAAGCCCCCCGGGCGCTGCGGATGATGTTGACGAAGTCGTCATAGTCTGCAGGTGTCAGGTGGATGAGTCGATGGTGGATGTACTGAGGAGAGACAGACGGGTGTGAGAAGGCTTGTTAGACAGAATTGCTGCTGGATTAAAACATCTCAGTTTTTCATTTAAATCAAATATGTGGTGAACATTAACATTTCTATTTAATCTCAACTTCCTGTATGGCTGAACAATATTGGGAAAAATGTCATTACAACATCATGGCTCAATATTCTGATGGAGATGTTGATTGAGAAAAAACCCCACCCCTCTCTTTCTTGCCAGTTTGTTGCTCTGAATCCCCACTAGAGGGGATTTCTGAATGGACAATATTGAGTCAGGCAACAGCTAGTTGTGCCTTGGGGTCCTTAAACTTGCAGTATGTAACTTTCAGAAGAAATATTTCTTACATATTTATTGAAATGGTCACTATGTCATGACAATATGATATTAGATAGATAATCTGTGAAAAATTGTGCTTCTCTGCCTTCTCCCAGCGTTAGCCAATCAATCTCCATAACTCAAGCCTCACTGTAGATGAGGAGCCAATAAAACGGTCTCAAATTTATTAGACATGTCTTTTCCTTTGTCACAAAGTTGCTTGAAATTAAAAGTTTAATAAAAGTTTAAGGAAAACGATCCAGATGCACAAACGACAGCAGTGTTGACGTTATATGATAGGCGGTAGACGGTGTGTTGCACCTGTAGGTATGCCTGCTGGCAGCGCTGCACCAGCTGGTGGAAAGCAGGCGTGCGGAGGTGAGCGTGGATGTGGGCAGGATTCAGCCTCTGCAGAGCCTCCATGATGATCTCCTGCAGGACGAATGGACTGAGGACACCTTTGGCTGCTCCGACACAGAACTGGTACACATAGTTGACTCCTGGCAGACAAAACAACAAGCCAGTTCATGACAATCACCATAATCACCATTAGTGCTACATGTAACCCGAGTCATTCAGCTTTACAAACTTTCTGTGGGGCCAAAATCACCAAACACTTAGGAGACATATTAAAAATGCTAAGTAATTTTTATTGTAAATTGATCATTTGAGATCTAACCAAGCAATATTTTTATGAAATAAAATTGCGAAGAACAATTTAGTAAACTGATATTTTCTTTAATAATAAGAGAAGTTGTGCAGGTTTCTAACTTTTGGTCAAAGATTTTCTTTTTTGCTCATTTAGAAAATATTTTTAAACTTATAAATTAATAAAATTATTCAGAGGGCCACAAATGGCACCTGCGCCCCAGTTTGTACAACCCTGATCTAGAACATTTGCTAAACTTGTCGTCTTTGAACCATTTGCTACTGTCCTCTTTTGCTAACATGTTTGGGGGCAACACTGGCGAAGGCAGAAGAAGTTCATCTTGCAGTCGGTGGATCGCTGGTTCGATTCCCGCTGCGTGTCACTTAGCTTTGCAAAAACACTTCACCCACCATGCCTGTTGGTGGTGCTCAGAAAAATCACACAAAATGACAGCATCGCTTCTGTCAGGGCAGCTGTGGCTACAATCCAGCATTTGATTTAAGGAGCATTATAAATAAAATGAATTATTATCATTAGTTCTCACCTAGTCGTGCAGCCAGTCCCAGCAGCCACTTTACATCTTCAGTGTAAGGTGGACTTCTGGAGAAGTTGTTGGGATGGTCGTTATGAGCCCTCCTGCCCAGCATCTCCAGCGCCAGCATGCCTTCACACAGAACAGCAGCCACCCTCAACACAACACGACTTTAATGTGAGAGTCAGACCTGACGAGGCGAAGCCGCTCACCAACTCTGTAGGCTGAGTGCAGGTAGTGCAGGCCCTGCTGGCTGATTGGCTGGCTGTGCTGCTCATCTTCTGCTGTGAAGGGGGCGCTCACCAGCGGAGCGGGCTGGGGGGAGACGGCGGGCAGAGACGCCCCCTGTATGGCCTGAATGGTGGGGCCAGAGTGGACGCTGCCCACTGCAGAAACACAACAGTGAGGCATTAAAAATGATGATGACGTGGCTGAAGGTGAATTGGGAACACGGTGCCGTCCTGACCTGCCACGGTGGTGCTCAGGGGCAGGCCCGTCTCGGTGTGGTACGGGTGGACGGCAATCTGAGTCATGGACGGCACGGGGACGGCTGGGAAGGTGACGGCCGCGGCGGACAGAGAGGGCTGGGGGCCGGGAGCCATTGAGAAGGGGTACTGGGCCCCGATGAAAGCTGGATGCATCCCCTGATTAGAACACAGCAGAGCAGTTACAATAAAAACTGCTAATATTAGCACAATAATGATGCTTCATAGCTCCATGGGAGGCTTCCTTTTACACTTGATTACAACCCTACTGCCATGTTTACTGGGGATAAAAATAGTGCATAATTATTTAGTGGAAGTTAAAAGATACAGAGTTTAATACAATTTCAACAAAAATCTCAAAAGAAATAAAATCCTGTGGGATCAAAAGCCAAAGTTACATAAAAAGCAGAGTGTTCAGTTTTCAACAACCAGACTTCAGACCAGAGCATCTTAATGTCAGAATGGTCCAGTAGAAACCTAGAACTAAATCAAATTCAAAAGTTTTAAAAATTTCTGTGAACAGATGCTCTCCAGCAAATCAGACTGAGCTTGAGCTTCTTCACAAAGACAGGTGGGCGAAAGTTTCAATCTGCAGATGTGCAAAGCCGGTAGAGATATGCCCTCAAAAGACCAGTTGCTGGATCTGCAATGGAAGCTGCTTCTAGAAAGCCTGAACCTCAGGGAGGGCTGAAGTTTCAGATTCTTTTACAACAAATAAAAAAAAAAATAATAATAATTTTTACTTATTTTTCAGATGTACATATACCAAAGATAGTTCAAAGTTTTATTTGAACTAAAACAGGCAGCTAGAAATATTCTAAGAGAAGATTTTAGTTGTTAGCGGACGGGTGTGGTCCCCCATCTGTGCAAACACAAATGGTTGTAAGTGTTTTCAACCATAAGAACTGTTGTATATGTGTTGTATTTACAGTTCCCTCTGGTGTGTATTGAGATGACCTCTGACCTGCGGATATGAAGCCCCAGTGACAGGGAAGACGGCAGGCCGGGGTACATGCTGCAGAGGGTGTCCCAGGTACTGAGGGGTGCAGACGGAGGGAAGGTGTGCCTGGATGGTGGTGTAGGGGTGTAGCCCCTGACTGTGGGGGTGGGACATGGCCTGGCCAGGAATAGGATGGGACTGGTAAATGGTGGAGCCCACAGAGATGACGGGGACGATGGCCGCCGCAGTGACCGAAGCTGTGACCGCTCCCACGCCCGAAGAGTCCATGTTAGCTACGCCGTCCAGCACACTGCAGGAGGCATCTGGGGGCCTCCGGCCAGAGCTCCCGTTGGCCCCGCAGCGGCCTGCAGGCTCCCGCTGCTGGCCAGCACCGCCACCCACTGACTGTTCATACAGCCAGTACCACTGATGGGCCACCTCGAACAGGACCTCAGGATAAACGCCGCCGCCCTTCGCTGCCTCCTCTACGGCCATGCAGGCCTTCTCCAGCATCACGTTGTCCTGGAAGCAGGAAGAGACAGAGACGCATTGACGGGAGAAGGTCATATCGTTCTCCTATATGGTGAGCATTTAATTTGATCTGATTCCTAGCATCTTTAAAATTCTCTAGTGTTTGACTCAGCTTATCGTTTCCTTCTAGTAAATGGAAACAACACATGGTGAGTCGAGTTGTTCATATGTACATTATCAATAGTGAGTATAAACTGTTAAAAGTCATAGTATTTTGTGGAATTCCTTAGAAACTTGATTACATAAGTATTTCTGCTCATAACTCAATCTCTGCAGAGTCAAATCTTCACACAAAAAACATTAGAGGCTAATTTATCAGTTACATCCAACATTAGACAGCACAACAACTGCATTCAATCAGATTTTTAAATTTGAACACAGCTTTTATTACTAACTCAACATTTTTTAATAACTAGAATCAGTTATTAAAAAAAAGATTTTTAATAGCAGTTTTTGGGCCATAAGTTTATGACGACCCAATGAGGAGTCGCCATATCCTTGTGTGAGTTACTGCCATGGTAAAAAAACAAACTCAAAATGTTAACACGACTATATAATGATATATAGATACATACTATGCATACTACCACATTTGTAGTGGTAGTATGCATAGTATGTATACTACCACAGCATTTATTGAGGTTTCCTGCACAATGCGCAAGAAAAGTTGACTTGCTCTACCTGTTCTTTGCACTGAACCAAGGCTCTCTGGATCTCATTGGGGTTGAGTGCGTGAGCGTGAGGCAGGCAGCTGAGCGCCAGCTCTGCAGCCGCCCGGACCATGTTGGGGTCCCTGGCCCGTGATGCCCGGTCTGCCAGGGACGCCACCTCTGGTGGAGTCAGGTGGCCATCCCAGCACTCCACCAGAATATTCAGGGCTGCGCTGCCGATCTCCATCGCTTGGCCTAAAGAAACAGCAGAAAGAAAACCGTAGTTACAACACCTGACCAAATGTAACGAAAGACTGTTAAAATGTTTGTCCTTTAATAAGCACACCAGTTATCCAGGAGACATGAGATGAGTAGGTCCTGGACAGCCAGTTGGGCGAAACAAAATTGTGGAGGCCAAGAGCGTACAGTCCAATCTCGAAGGCACAGAGATGGAGGTTCCTGTGTGGCCCCTGGTGACCGCCGCTGGCTGAGGGCTGGGTGAAGATGGAGGTGGAGGAGTTCCCTCCGGCTTTGATCAGCACCGTCTTGGCCAATTCAAAGTAAAAATGGGCTGCTGCCTCGGAGGGCTGGTTGGGCACATGGGGGGCATGACACTCCAGACGGCGCCCCTTATACCTGGACACATGGAAACGTTGAAACCGGTCAACATGAAGTATCTGAGTCAGACCTTCACACTTCATAGTGAGGTGGATTAAAACAGATGTTCCAGTTAGGGAATTTTCATATTCCATAGTAGAAATATCCATTAGCACAACATTTGTTCTCGGGTTCTGAGCTTCAACTGTTTCATCAGCTGCATTTTCATGAACCTTAAAATTATTGGAATTCCAAAAATAAATTTGCCAAGTGGAAATGCACCAATTTCAAAAAATGTGTTTTCCAACAAGAATCTTTTAACTCTTGGATGAGTTGATTTTTCAGCCGTTTTGGTTTTAGTGTATTTGGCAAAACTGCAGAAGAAACCTTTTTTTTATTTCTTTTTGCATCACATGAGTCAAATGATCAACAACCAGAAAAGACGAGGATGACGGCAGGAGGAGGTAGGATGCTGATGCTGCCACATGTTTTTTTTTTTAAATAAATTATGGCTTGAACAAACTTAAAGTTAAAATCACGCGTGAATATTTCTTATTTAATGGAAACACTAAAATTGTGAAATTGTGTTTTTTCGACTTTAGTGGAATATTGTGCATATTTGTAATGGGAATGGAGCTTCAGTCAGATAAAATAATCAGTGATGTCTGAAGAGAACTAGAGTGACCAGAAAGAATGATCCCCAGCTTTCCAGATCTACATGCAAAGTTATCTTTGTGTACAATGAAACATCAGGTTATTTGAGATTACATTCAAAAGTAAAAGCATGGATCTTTATGGCTCTGCGAAGCCAACCCTGTAGAGAGGTGGGGTAGTCAGCATGCGTACCTGCTGGTGTCAGTGCTCTTGGCCCTAGCCCCGCCCCCAGTCCTGCGTGAACCACTGGAGGAGGAGGAGCCCAGCGAGTCTGATGAAGAGCTGCTGATGCTGTCGCTGTCCTGTCCGCGCGCCCAGGACGCCGCCGCCCATCCACCCCGGAGCGGCCTCCGGCTGAGGGTCGGGGAGCTGTCTGAGGTCGTCTCAGGAGCACTGCTGTCTATGCTCGCCATGCCTGTTCACACACATGCACTTTAAAGTTTGGACACTGGGTTTGTTTCACTACAAATCAGCAGCGTTTTTTCACCAAGAGGGTAAAACTCCCCTCAATAGGAAAAAAAAATAGTTTTTGAAATTACAGTGTGTAAAAAAGGGACAGACATGTAGGATTAGTGTGGCACCCATAGAAGGAAAGGTGAAGCCACGTCAGAATGCATACCAGTGTGTTTCTTCTTCTGGCGGACAGGCGAGCCCCAGCAACGTTGGCTGTAGCCGCAGCGCCCCCCTAGAGCCAGTCGACTGGGAACTGTGGCCTCCGATTTGAAGGACGCCGTTTCATTCTGCTGCTCACTTGATAACTGTGCTCCATCTGAAACTGCAAGGACACAAATCCAACTCAGTGTTCATTGGAAAACACATCTAGTTCTGATCAATTACAGAGGAAAGGAAGAAATGTTCTAAGTACGTTTGGGTACTCTGCACATTCACAATTTCCAAAGGCATTCTTCTGCCGCTTTGCACCACAGTCTGAAACTTACACAGAATTTCACAAATCTAGGAACCTCAGACCAGAAGAATTCAACCAGGCCCGCCGATTCTTCCAACTTCCAACATATTTCGATCCTTAATGTGTTGGGTGCCTACCATGCTCCTTGGTGTCAGCAGCGTTCTCTCCAGCTGTGCTGTTCTGCAGCAGGCTGAGCTCGACCTGTGAGGTCACTTCCTCCCCAGCCAGAGCCACAGCAGAGGAAGAGCTGGAGGAAGACGCGGCCAAGGTGTTGGATGAGGATGATGACAAGGCATGTTTGGTGACCCCTCCGGTGGCGCCTCCAATCCCGCTGTGGCTCCCAGTGGTGTGTTTGGACGGGCTGCGCTGACTGCCCCCTGCTGGCTTGCTGGAGTAGAATGAGCTCAGAGTCTGAGGCTTGTGGGTCTGGCTCTCCCTGTCTAGCAGCTTATCCAGGATCTGATCAAGGAGAGAGACTTCATCACTCTACACTTCATCACTCTACTCAGGGAATTGATTCTGAAACCATAATCAAAATCTACTTTATATTGTGAGAGTTCTGTGATGTGCTTTGTGTGACAAACTGGATATGTTCAGTTCAGCTTCAAAGAACCACCCAAGGAAACGGATGGCCACACTAGACAGTATGAACTGCATACAGTGTGTGTATGTTGGGTTTGTGTCTAGAAGGGTATGTGGGAACAAAACTACAAGTGTATTCCTGGCATTCTTCTGCCGTTTTGCACCACAACAATGTTGCTATTGTTTCCAATAGAAACATCAAAAGCTTATGACCAAGCTCTGTGCATTACCACCGTCTTCTTCTGTTTGTTCAGCATGATAATGTCTAATCTGGAGATTAGAAAGGAAATGTGCCGACATGCAGAGTGATTCACACTAAAGTCACTTTAGAAAGCTGAACATCTCAAGGATTTTTAGTCATTCCAGTTTCTACTCCACTTTCCCCAGTTTTCATCAGTTTGTTGACTGCATACAATGCAAGACAATAAAACTTCACCAGGCTGTGATAACAAGACCTAAAGCTCATCCCAAAGGTTGTCCATCATATCTATTGGTAGCCATGTTTGATAAACCGTGAGCCGCCCTTTACCTTCTTGAGTTTGCTTTGGTCATCCTTGTAGGTGATCATGAGGGCTAAAGCCAGGTCACCCTTCACCCGCCGAGTTCCTTCACACAGCAAAGGATGCTCTGCCTCGCTGACTGTCGTCTTCATACCTGCACATGCAAAGTCATGGAAACAGCAATCGGCACGAGTTAAGAAGTTTCAGGGAAACGACAAAGGAAGTCTGTGTGTTAAAATCTGTGAAGACTGGCAAAAAAACAAGATAATCGGCCCATAAAAGGAGCCAGGGAACAAATTACCAAGAGCAGCTACAGCAGCTTCAAAGCCCAGCTCTTCGTCCCCGGGCATCTCATTGTTTCGGTTGCGACTGGGTGGACGGGAACCAGTTGGGGACACAACTAAAGAGACATCATGGAGATAAAACTTGTTCAAAGGACACTAGAATAAATAAAAACTACCTTGTGCAGTCATTGCTTCTAATCTTTGAGAAATAAATCAAGATCTGAAATTCAACTTTAGAAAATGTTATCGATTTCATTTCGTTCCGTTATGGAATGCAGGCAGAAACTCAACAAATCAGTCAAGAAGTAGTCACCCAAACATAATGAACATCATAGATAGTTTCTTGATTTTGATGACAAATCAAAAGCAGACATCAAAAAGTGGCCAGAAAAAGAAGTTCTTATCAAAAGTAAAAAAAAAAACACACAAAAAAACTGTTTTGATTTTAGAACATCTGAAGCCCAGAAGTAATAATTTGGATGTCAACCTGGGGTGCAGAGAACATCAAATATGAAACTGGCCAACATCAACGGCAGCACCGGTCTGTAATCACAGAGGTTTCCATCCCTGAGCTGCTCGGCTCGCTCTCTGATGGCCGACATCTCCACCAGGCCCAGGGGAATCTTCTTCAACAGCGCCACCACCTCAGACTCCTGGTAGGCCAGCTTCACCTGCTCAGTCACAACAACAAAAGTCCATAGTTACATAGTTCAGGTGTTTACATGATTTGAAAGGATTTAGATGTTTACATGTGTTCATGACTGTTGCCTTGTCTTTATACAACATCCAAATATAACAGTAATTTATGCAGCTCAATTAGGTTTGCTCTGGGTTAGGTCTCAGGTCGTTTTAAGACAAACAGATCATGCGTGTGTGTGACTTTGAGCCACAGACCTCCAGAGCTTTAGTCGAAGCAGGCGGCCTCTGCAGCTCCAGAGAGAACATTCCGGTGCTGAAAGCCAGGTTGTGGAGCTCCAGCCTCTCGCTGAGGACTGTGAGGAGGAAGGCAGCTTTGGACAGAGTGTTGGTGGCCACCTGAGTCTGACGGCTGGTCGACACCTTGCTCTTCTTGCCCTGCGGTCAATGAACATGTCAGAGGGCGTCGGAGTGGAATCATGTGCTCCGGTGTGGAGGGACGTTTTACCAGATACCTTGGTCTGGGGTTGCTCCACCTTCAGGTCAGGAGGGTTAGCCAGCAGGTCTCTGGCCAGCTCCACAGCCAGCTGACATGCCTCATTACTGTAGCCATGAGCATACAAGGCTTCAGCACATGCAAACAGCACCTACACAAACACACACAGCACGGTGAAAGGCTACCAAAGCTCACAAGAGGTCAGAATATCACAATCATTTGGAACTACTAGTACAGAATAACTGCACAAGAAGTAACTCCAGGTCGTTTTAAAAACTAAGATGCTAAGCTGCTGTTGTTTTGCTTTCTTACTTCCATGCGTCCTGCCTGCTCCAGAGGTTTAATTCCTGCAAAGATGTCTGGCTCTTCCTCCTGGTGGCTGTCGGCCAGCTGCTTGTCGGCTCCCTCCTCTGATGCAGCGCTCAGGTAGTACGCCTGGTAGTCATCCTCAGCCAGAGCTTCTCCTTCAGAAGCTCCACCTGCAGCCTCCGCCCCCTGGTTAACTGCTGCTACACCTGCTGCTGCACCTGCTGCTTCTGCAGCTGCAGGTTCGGCCTCCCTGTTGCCCCATGGCGCCTTGGCAGAAGCTGGAGGGCTGCCAGGTCTTGCTGTTCCAGTGCAGCTGGACGGCATGTCTTCGCTTCTGCCGCTAGGCTCAGTGAACCCTTCCACCGTGTCCACAGCAACCTCCATGTGTTCTTTGGCAGTAAAACAGGCTGGAGCAGACTCTGCAGCAGTCAGTGCCGCGGGGACGTGACCCGCATGCTTCATGTCAAAACTCTTGCTCCCGCCACCGCCGCTGCCTCTGCTGTATTTGGGCAAGTCTCGGAGCAGCGGACTGGGAGAGGGCAGCACCTCCGCCGGGGCGGGGAGGAACTCGAAGGTGTTGCAGGCCTCGGCTCCCAGAGCCAGGTTACAGCTGTCATCCAGACTGAGGTCAGCCAGGTCAGGTTCCAAAGAGCTGTCCTCACTGCTGGTTCTGCGTTTGGCGCTGGCATGCTTACCGCTTCCCAGCCCTCCGCTGCTCCCTGGACCTCCAGCCGACGGAACCTTCCCTCCTCCCTGGGTCAGCTTCAGTTTGCCTCCCGAGGAGGAAGCAGCTCCTTTATACATGCACTTCCCCCCACCGTCCTCTAAAGTCAGAGAGACACTCCCCCCCAGCCGGACCAGCATCCCTCCTCCTCCACTCAGTGACAAACCTTTCCGTTTGCTCAGAATAGTCTCCTTTGGTCTCACAGCCACCTCCTGCTGGGAGAAATGGCCGGTCCCCCTTCCTTTGTAGTCCAGCACCACTCCGCCCTCTGCTTTGCTCGCTGCTCCTCCTTCAGAAGGCTCGCCGCCCACAGCCTTCAGCCCCCTCTGAAACTGCATGGCCCTGGGCCAGCAGAACGGGCTGTTCTTCTTGTCTGCGCTGCAGTAGGTGATGCCTTCCAGCGGATAAGCCACCTCCCAGTTGAAGTAGCAGGATTCCACAGCGGGCTTGAAGCCCTGGAAGAGTTTATCCAGCGACTTTCGATGTTGTCCTCGTTTCACGATCTCTATAACTTTCAGATGCCACTGCTTCAGCTGACTAGCCAGCTCCAACCGCCTGCAACAGACCATGTGGAGGCTGAAGTCTCAACACTTTTCATTGATTAGGCAATTCAGTGTTAGTATATATTAGAGCTGTCAACGTTAATGCACTGATATCACAACACAGGTTAATCGAACTACCTATTTTGACCTAAAAGCCTCTCTCCAGCAGAGGGCTTCCTCGTTCCTAGTAGCATTATGGTCTATGTGTATGTGCTCAAAATGTCACATGCATGAAATACACCAGACGATCGGATGGACGACAACTGTACAAGTTTAATAAGAAATTAATGAAGAGGAAAATTTCTAAACTAACCTTTAATACAAATTTAATTCCTTTAAATCTTCCTGATTATAAAACCTGGAAAACTGAGAATCATCAGACATGTTTGGTTTAAGATAATTAAGCATTTTTTTGCCCAGTGCAGCATCAGAAAGGGGTAAGGTAACCAAAAACTAGAAAAAATATATTTTATTTCTCAGTTATCTCCTGAAAAAGTGTGGTAGTACTTGTATCCATGCGTACTGAAGTATTTTTGTCTTAGTTGCTGTTGAGTACTAAGAAATAATAAAAATCAGATCATTTTGCATTTTAATTGGTTGGAGTGCAGCAGGAGAGGCCTGTCCAGAGCACCATTGCTACAAGATCCACAACTTCCTGCATTTTTATATTTAATCTTACAAAATCAGGCATAGTTATTAATTGTAATTAATCAGATTACATTTTTTAATCATCTCACAACTCAAATCTGTAAGAATAGTTCAAATCATGCATGACTTTTGTCTGTGCTCTGACCTGGTGGGGCTCATGGTGGGGTCAAGCACAGCCAGCCTCCACAGGACGACCATCTCATCACACATGCTGGCGCAGGCGTGAGCCGCCACCTCTGATTGGCCGTTGCTGCGCCCCGTGTGGCCGCTGGCGCTGCTGTGGGACGCCGAGGTTCTGACGCTGTACCACCAGCTGATGATCTGAAACACAAACCGGGCTGGGTGTGAGCCAAAGTCTGGGCACAAAGCAACAGCTCTCAACATGGATGTGCAGTAGAACTCCAATACAGACCAAAAAAGTGAACTCCGGTCCGCCTAAAAACCTTGTTTTCGGTTTAAGTGAACTCTGGTGCGGATTAAATGCATATGTGGATGCAAGCGGACCAGAGACCTCTTCAAAAGCAGAAAGCGATCTACAGAGCAGGGTATTCTGGATGAAAACTCACCTGCTCATAGGTAAGGCACTGTTCAGTGAGGATCTCCAGCAGTGGCGCGGCGTTGCTGTCTCGCCTCTTAAACATTTCCCTGACGATGGACAGAAGGTTCCAGATGCCCTCTGGCTCCCGGCCCCTCAGAGGGCGCAGCAGGCACGCCCACTCAGCAGCTGCCGGAGGCTCAGTGGAGGACAGGTACATGGAGTTCACATCACTGGTGAGACACACACAAACCTATTAGTAGTGCTTCTCTCTGAAAATTAGCTGACACTGTGGCAGATAAAAATATAACGATAAGCCAGAGTTAGCCATCAACTGTTTGAGGGAATTTTCTGGGGAAAGATCTAAGGCAGACAGCTTCAGGTTTCTCAACTGAAAGATTCTTGTTTCAGTGAAAGAGGCTTTAATGAGAAGCATAAAGAAGAAGAGCACCTGAACACGACAGGAGAGGGCCCACAGAACTTGTGCAAAGTCTTTTTAATGTTATCGCTGAGGGTCGACTCGTCCAGATACCAGGTGCTCTGATCAGATGCTGAAGGCCCTGCTGTCGGATCTGAAAACGCAAAAACAACACGGTAAGATCACGCTTTAATAAACTGTCAGACATTAGCTTCAAGTAACTCCTAAGGTCTCAGCATTTTCCTCCCATTCTGTCCTGAGTCACAACAGTCTTTGCTCTGGCTTTACTACACCTACTTTTCTGACATTTCATCACTGTTAAGTCCATCTGTGGTCGTTTGGACTAATCCTGTTTTCTGCTCAGGTCCAAATCAACTTCATTATCGAACTTCATCCTTAATCCCCTTCATTGTGCCAGAATAATGTCCCCAGACTATCAGGTTCAATGCAGTTGAAAACTGATTCAACTCTAACACTGAACCAGTTTTCCTCTGTCACAGTCCATTTTTAGCTTCAAGAAGGAAGTATGAGCAAAGGGAAAAGGGATGGAGAGTTTTCCTCCGGCATGCTGAGGGCCGTACCTGGAGCTCCACACACAGTGTTGATGGCTGTAGACTGAGAAGACAGCAACTCGTCCAGCAGACGCTGGGCTGTAGGTAGGATCTGGAGAAATACAAGAAAGAGAGCTCTAAATATTGACATTTACTGGATGAGGAAGGAGCTTTAGAGTCTTGTGTATCCTTAGAAACCGGCTGATATCTCATTTCTTCATTTTGCAGTTGATGTCTTTTTTTGACCCAAAGCACATTTAGCAGTAATTCTGCAGTTCATCAAAGTAATTAAGGTAAAAAAATCAAAACATATTTTCTGAATCAACTCTGTGGCACTTCCTGCTGTTTCCCCTCCAAGTTGCAATGTAACATGTCACTGGTCACCACTGACCTATTACCATGTCTGACACATCACACCTAATCACACACTTAAACAAAACTAGGTTTGTACATAAAACTCTGCAACTTAAATGACCAGTTAGGTTGCCTGGCATTTTCTTAAATAAAAAATTATCAAAATAGAAATATGCATAAAAATTAAGCAGACTAAAATCCATTTTGAATTGATTGCCAGCACTGGAAATGTGATTCTCTCTAGAACTGATTATTTCCTCTGTACCTCTTCCAGAGCTGGTAGCTGCACGTACAGGACATGATTAGACATCTTACTAACAGTGTGTAGTGTGTTTGTTCTGAGTGTGGATCCTACCTGTTGAGGCAGCTCACTAATGAGGTACTGGGCAAACTTTTGGAGCTGGTCCCTCTGCAGCCTGGATAAAGACTCTGACACCGGAGCCCTCAGACAGACCGCTGAAGCCTGCAAAGGTGGGAGCAGACAAATGACAAATAAACACTGCACATTAACAGACTAACGTGAGCCATCAAGATTAGAATCACCGCAGACTGTCCTTTTCCTGGAAGGAAAGATTGGTTTCGTTGTAACAGCTAATCCATAAGGTTTTTTGTTTGTTTGTTTTTTTAGGTAATATGATCAAAGTCTTGACAAGACGCAGTGAGGAACTTTGACCGTCATATCTGCTAACATTCCACTTGGATCTGTCTGAGTATATAATTCAGAATCTTCTCAAGATGTTCTATGGTGCGTTCACCAGACGGCTTTGTTTACATTCAAAGTCTACGTGGAGTCGCATTGAAGGCCCGTCGCAGCGTGTTTTCCAAGTCTAGCGTAGCATGGTTTGAAGCGTTTTGATTGTTTGACGTGTCAAGCTTGTCCGACAAATATGCCAGCAATGGCTGGAGTGATTTTAACACGTCTGACATGCCTTTGATGCGCCTCCTCATGGACTTTGAATGTAAATCTGAAGCACGAAACTAGGCGTAGAGCAAAATGTCAAGCGCCTGAATTCAAAGTGCATCAAACTTGGGACTTTGGTCGCGTTTGGTGTGAACGCACCATTAATCTGATCTGAATCGCGGCAAATTTCTACTTTACTCATCTGCTCTCTCCGTCTCTTACAGCTTTCACTCAACTATTAATCCTCTCCACTGATCCATTTTAAGATAGACATTTTTTATTCATTTAGTTCATTAGAGTTCAGAACTGAAAGGATTCCTGTAGAGAAAACAAACTCACATTGTGTATTCTGAAAAGGCAGAGAGCGACAACGTGGGCACACCATTTTGCCCCGGCGCCGCACGTACAGCTGCAGGAAGTGATGCGGCAGCGGTCAAACATGACAGCCACGTTGTAGGCTGCTTTAGACTGACCAGACTGACTGGACACTACAGTAGCGCTGAGATGGAAGCCTGGAGACAAACAGAGACACAGTCCTGCTTCATTTCTGCAGCAAATACAAACGAGGATCCTATTCTCCAGATAAAACAACTCAAAATCTTCTACTACTGGTATTTCTGAATGATGAAGGATGAATGAAGGTAGAACGCCGAGGTGGACTTTAACACAAAGAGTTGAAGTCTGTGGTCTGAATATAGTTAAACTCGGTTGAGAACATGCCTGGACGTACCGATCTGAAGAGGGTCTTTGACGGCTCTGATCCTGTACAGCTGCTCTCCACGCTGGAACTCATCTGGACTGCCATTAGCCAGGCAGGAATACAACCTGCAACCACATTAAAGCAAACTCGGTCATTTCTCAGTCCTTCTTCTAAAGTCTCTAGAAAACTTTCTTCCACTTCATGACAGGAGTCAGTAAATCCCTCACGAGGCGTTAGTAAACTCATCTAATCGTAGAAGTTTATTGTTATTATTGACAGCTCATAATAACAAATATTGCTGGATGACAAATTGTCTCAGAAATTATTGAGATATATGATAATCTTGTTGTTTTGAGATTATTTTCAAGTAATGTAATGGTAATGGCATAATAATGGAAAAACACATCCTCCAAGATCAATAAACTTTAAATTCTAATGAACATTTTAAGCTGGAACTGGAGGACATTTTAAATATCCAAAATAAATAAACAAAACAGCAAAAACAACAAATAAAATCAATTATAAAATCCCTGTACACAAAATTATCCTTAAAAATAAGCTAGTTGAGACCAAAGTATCAGACTGACGACTTTTATTTTCCACAATAAATCATGTAAATGGAAATTACTGAGGACATTTTAATTTATCATGTGATTAACTGATTTTTTGCTTAATGCGACAGGCCTGGCTAGTCACATTTGTAAACATCCAAAATAAAACACATCATGCAAAAACAATAAATAGAAAGGAAACAAAAACCACAAACAACCAAAACTATAAATAAAATGGATTATGAAGTCTCTGTCAGCCAAACTGCCCTTAAAATAATATCAATAATCTGATTGGAAATGATTGCGCTAATCTGATTAGTTGCTTATCAACTGTCTCTCACCTGATGTCCTCCTCGTTCTCTGGGAAGCTCCAGAAGGCAATACGGAGCTGGAGCTGCTCCGGGACTGGGGGGTACACCTTCTCCACCACCTCGAACGGGATGTGGAAAGCTACCTGCTTCGCCGATAACTCCACCAGGGGAGTCACCTGGCCGTCTGAGGAACGCCACAGAACAAAATCAGAAACAGTCAACACACACTGAATCAGCAACTTCTCATCCAGTTGAAGGACACTGGAATTTAAGAGGAATATATCCCTGCCTGGACCTGCTAACATTCAGCTTCTCCATCAATCCCATAATATATGGACAGCTATTTGTTAGTCAAATTATGATTCCGATTTTGACTGGTACAATTTTTTTTTGGCTGAAATGTTGCTAAATATAGCAAGAAAGTCACTGAGTTGGCAACAGTGGGGTGATTATTGTTAACATGCAGACATGACCTGTCAGTCAAACCTCTCTAACAGGAGAACACAAGAGGATCGTGGTTGATTTTTTAGACATTTGCAGAGGTAGACAATATCGATTTCACAAGTAAGTATCAGCTGATCACCGATCCCCCAAAATTAAAGAAAATTGGCTGGACGATAAATTGGTGCACCCTTAAAATTATAATTCATTTATAATTTAATCTGACCCACATATGGTGACTGGGATTTTAATAAACTGACTTGCCAATCACAGACTTTTATATTTCATTCTCAAGGTTTCCCACAGAGTATAATAAGTCTAACTAAATATCTGACAAATTCTTCCTCTCATTTTTGGAGCATTTAGTAAATAATTTTGGTAAACAACCTGAAACTTCAAAAAGTGGGTGGGGGTGGGGAACGGTCAGATTATTTTCAATCAGTGCATGTAAACTTCTGGTTTCAACATCCAAGACCGGAGTCACGAGTTCAACACAACCACTGATTCAATAGTTCTGGACAGCAGCAGGTGCAGCTTAAACCTCAGCACAGACTAGAGAGCTGAACTGCATTCTGGGAGTTGTAGGCAACTGCTGTGGGTGGAATCCATTGGTGGCACATATGAACTATCTTTCCCATTTACTTTGTTTGATGAAAAATTTAAATCCACAAATAAAATAGAAAATTCAGTTGAGCATAATTTGCATGCATTTTATTTTTTATTCTAAAATTTCTTCATTTTGAATCAGTTTGTTTTGTGTCTGAAAACTCTGTTGAATAAACATCCTCATAGTGTTTAATTTCCATATTTTTAGCTGGTGGTTGCATCATACTCACTCCTGACCTAAAACATATGTAGAAAAGATGATTTTATTTGTTTATTTCTTACAGTTCCATCCATGCAAATTAAAACTCTTCTGGTAATGCAACATGTTGAGAGAAAATACATGAATTATTGTCAATTCTTGCATAAACTGCTTTTACTGTGTGCACTTAGGCATTTCCAGAGAAACAATGGAGAACTAAATAATACGTTTTCTAATCCTGCAACTCTAATAAGGAACAATGGTGGTTTTTTTAGAGGGCATCGAAAAATTAGCAAGCCAATAAATTAACCAACCGATAAATCAGATGGCCGATAAATCGACCTAAATTTCCTGCGTTTTGGGAGATCAGTGATTGGCCAATACTTACATGTGAAGTCGATATTATCCTCCGATCTAATGTACAAAATAAGCCACTGGCCTCTTTTGCTCTGCCATGAGAAAAGGTTAAAAGATACCCCAGCCCACCAGGTCATGTCTACATGTTTACAGTTAACAACAGTCATCCTAATATTACAGATTCAGCAACTTTCTTGCTATATTTAGCGACATTTCATACAAAAAAAAAAAAAAAAGA